ACTGTTGCTCCTGGTTTTCCCCTGCGGCACTTTGGTGAATAGTTGTTAGCTTAGCCCCTGATGCTCACCCCTGATACAAGCTGCCACCAAATCCCACTGAAGCCTTCTCTTCTCCCACTGTCAGCCTTTCCTCATATGGCTTGCTCTTCAGGCCTCTAATCATATGAGTGGGTCTTCTCTGGACTCTCTCAAGCTCTCTCCACATCGTCTTGAAGATACCTACCTTCACAGCAGATCAAGTCTGAACTCAACAGTTAAATAGTTGTCTAAATACGACAGGAAAGACAAAGCCACTGTAGTGATGGATATTTGATTCACCTCCCCTAAGATCCTCACCTCTGTGATTCCATAAAAGTCTGTACTGATTCCTCTTCAGTATCTACAGGAGATCACAGGGACAGTCCAGGTAGTGCCACACGCTTAGCTGCAACACTATGCTGATAACAGCCAGGGTGGAAACAGATGTTGCCTTCTGTTGCTTTTGTGCCTCCATAAAATTTCTTATGGTGGCACGTAGCCCAAGCAAACAGATAACCATGCCCTTCATGGCACCAAAAATAGTGGCCACAACAAAGGTGATATCAACTTATACTGCTCTTCAGTAGTTGATGTCTGCTTACTTTATGACGTGAGAGCATGGGTAGCTCAGAGCTGCCGTTCCTCCCCAGCCATCCTGGGCAGGGGCTCCACGGCCTGATCCTGTGCCCCTTGGGAATTCCCGGGCAGGATTGGGCCCTTCAAGCCCTGGGAGCACCTGTTCAGCTTTCCCTGCTTCCTGAGATGTGCCCCCAGGATCTCCTGGGCATGCCTTAGTAAATGGGGAAAGTAAGAGTTTCCCCACTTACCAAGATGCATTCTAGGAAATCTGGGGTATACCTTGGTAAGTAGGGAAAGCCAGGCGGGTGATCTCAGGTCTTGAGAGGCCCAATCCTGCTTGGAAATGTCTACAGCATGAAGAACTGGGCCCCTCAAACCCTGAGAGAACCCATCACCCATTGTACTGCAACATCTATGGACAGGACAATAGGTGACGTGCGTTTCACCCAATGAAGCTGATCAGCTATGCCAAGACACATCTGCTTTACTTGACAAAGTCTATTTCCACCCTCAAGTCCACATATCATTCTGGACCTATGCAACTGCTGATAGTGCTAAAATACATATAAACAAAAAAAGATTAGCTTTTTGGTGAAGAGAGTTCTTATGCAAGCTGAACCCAGGTAAGATTGAAGTGATGCTGACCAAAAAGTAGCCAAAATATGATCTCTACCTTCCACTTAATGCATGTAGCTTACATTTAAATTGCTACAAAGCCTCAGGGTTTTCTCTGACCCTCAGCAAAGCTGGATAAGCAGCGAATATTGATGTCTAAAAATATCACTTTTTATCTCTAGCTCACTAGAAAACATTATCCTGTCCTCTCAGACAAGGACCTGATCACATTGATCCACGCATTTATCATCTCCAGAGTGAGCTGTGCAATTAACTACATCTGAAACTCACTGGAAGACAACACAAAAGCTCCAAGCAGCACAACATGCAGCAGCCTGTCTTTGCCAGGACATCAAGCATCTGGTCTTATCCTTTCAATGGCTCCCTCATAGCTGCCAAGACCAGCATAAAATATTGATCTTAACCTTCTAAACAAATAATACATTTGTTTTCTTTCAGAAAAATTAATTCCACACAGCTTCTATCAAGCAAGTTTTTTGACTTCAAGGCTTAGAAACAGTAAATTAAATGGGAGGAAAGCAAGAAAATGTTAATTAAAGTGAACTTTATACACTCTCTCTCTCTCCATATTATTTCTATGAATTTATTATACTGCTGCAATATGTAATTTACTCTGACTGTACTAACACTCCAATTATACACCCTTCTCTTCAAGGACTTCACAGCAAAAAAATACCTTTGGACTCAGATTAGCAAACAAGTCATCTTCTTTGGACTTTTTGATGACAGTTAACACTCAAGGCTGAGTATCAGGTGGGATCAGAAAAACGTGTGCCTTCTGGCACCACTATGTTGTAAAACATAGGCCCTGATTCAGCAGCACTTAAAGATGCATGTCCTTATAAAAGCCAATGGGACTTCAGCATATTCAGACAGGAATATGCCATTTGTCAAACGCCATTGATTTCACCATGAATTTGGCATTAGCAGTGCTTTAAAGCAGTGGAGGCCAACCTTTCTTGTCAGGCATACTACAAGGTAAGCCCTGCACCTTCCCAAGTGCTCCTCTGATTCCCTTCCCCAGCCCAATCTGCTGCTCTGCTTTCTGTTCCCTGCCCCCTATGTCCCACACAGAAGCTGCTCCATGCCACTTGTGGCAAGCATGCCACAGCTTGGCCACACCTGCTTTCAAGCTTTCTGGTCAGTTCATGTGGGAACAGGCTATGCTTAATTGTTCATAACTAATTTAGACTCATTACCTTGCTAATCAGAACCTTTCCTTAGCTGTCTGCTCCTCATTAAGGCTCAGTTCGCTGAGAGGGCTTTACCCTTCTAAAAGAAGGTAGGACGTTATTTAATTTTATGGTTGCTAAAAGTTCAGCACTGACAGCAGTTGAGTTAGGGTTACCATGTATCCGAATTTTCCCAGACATGTCCTCTTTTTGGATCCTCTGATCTCCATCTGGGCATTTTTTTGAAATCTGAACCAACGTCCAAGATTTTGCTGTGCTCTGCCGGTAGGAGCAGGTGGAAGGCAACTGGAGGTATGGGGCACCATGTGTGTGTGCACACAAACGCACATGCCCAGCACGCAGCCAAGCAGAATGGTGGGAGCAGCCTTGGGAGCTCGATGCAAGTAAATCTATGTGGGGCAGGGCTGGAGGGACAGAGCTTGGAGACTGTCCGGGCGGGGGGGAGGAAGAGAGAGTGTGTGTGTGTGAAAGGAGGGGGCAGGGGGCTGATGCCTGGCAGAGCTGGGGGAAGCTGTCTGGGTGTTGGGGCTGGGCTACGGCAGGGCAGGGCGGGTACTGCCTGCTTGTCGAGCAGGGGAAAGAGGCAGGGGGTCCTTTGGGGTCAGTGGGGAGCTCTGTGGCCAGGACAGAGGCACAGGGACCGGTGCCCATGCTCACAGAGATGGGGCAGGCAGATGCTGCCTGGTGGGGGGAGAGAGGCTGTGGCCAGGCTGCCTGGTGCAGTATGGAATGCCCAGCAAGGGTGGAGGGTGCCCCAGGCCTCCCCTCCTCTTCCCTCCCACCCGTTCCAGGGCTGGACTTGCTCTGCTGATGCCTGCACAAATCAGAGTTGTAGCACTCTGGCCTGGTTGGGATGGGGGCAACTGGAGGGCTGTGGGGAACAGGGGGCTGAAGCTTGGGAGTGAGAGGCTGGGGTGGGAGGGGAAGGGGGAGGCGGGGCTGGGCCTTAAGTAGCTCATCCAATCTGGAAACATGAGCGCAGGGCCCAAACCAGCATGCTATGCTGGGTCCAACCATAAGCAAAGGCTCCAGAGCTGTGCAGCAAATCTAGGACTGCATGTTGGCTCTGGAGCCATGTGCCAGGTCAGACATGATCCAGTCATGGGCCAACACCACACATGATTCTGATCTGGCATGCAGTTGGGGAGGGAGGGATCCCCAAAGATCAGAAATTTGGAAGAGGGGTGTAGGGAGCATGGGAAAGAAAGGGAGTGAGCACTGGCAGCATTAATTGCCATGGCTCCCCACAGCCATGGCAATTAACGCTGTTGCTTTTTCACCTCAAGTCCTTCCCTGCTGATTTCCAGACCTGTGGGGCGTACTCTTCTTTTTATATTATGCATACCACAATCTTCCCCAGATGATCTGGGGGGAAATATGAAGGTAATATGCATATTATGCAATCAAATATGGTATTTATTTGGATACCAGGGAAAGATCTAGCCATTTCCTTACTGCTGGGAGAATCTACTGTATTAACCCAAACCCAGTATGACTCTGAATTTAAGTTGATCCCCCAAGAATTAGATTCTATATGTGGAAAATTTGTAAATTTGCTATAATTTTGCATGTATTGAATCTAATTCTTGGTGGGTCATCCTAATTCATCCCCCCACTGCTGCAAGAGGGGAAAACAGTGGCAAGGAGGGTGGGGGAGGCAGTAGCGGGGCAGATGGTAGGGGGAGGCAGGTGCAGGGGGTAATCAAGCAGCTTGACCCCTGGCCCTAGTCCCCTCTCCCCCTGCAATTCCTGACAGTTTCAGCCCTGGCTCCAGGGCCCAGAGCCTACTGGAGCAGAGCAAGGGTAAGTAGCAAGGGAGGGTGGGGACATAGGGGCATAGAGGTGGAGGGGAGGTTGGGGGGACAGGTAGCAGCTGAGGCCCCTCACTGCCTTGTATCTGAATCCAAGACAAGACACTTCCCCCTACATGTCAAGGGGGGAAACCTCATCCTGAATTTAAGTAAATATGGTACTTCCTAGGTGTTGACCTTCAAGAGAAGCATAGGGGGTTACAGTTAAAAATAGTAACTCTGTTGGTCAGTGATCTCTCATTCTCGCTTACTTCCCATTCGTGTAATGTTTCTTGAAGCTGTCAATGTTTATACACTCTTTTTTATGGTTTACGATACGAATAACACATTACAGCGTTAAAAGGAGGCAGTGATTTACTATTTGTCAACCAGTCTGTGTGCATGTCCTTACCCAGTAAACTAAACCACAGCCCTTTTCAAGAAGGAGTAAACCACCATTAGTTTACATATCACTTACTGGAGGATAAAAGCATGTATATAGGCAGTTACTGTGGAGCAGTTGACATGCAATAAGTCTCGGGCCTCTTTTAAATCAGTGTAATTTGTTTGTCTGCCCACAGACCAAGCTGATTTCTGTGTTCATAACCACAGCCTAATGTAGGTTCATATAATTCTCTAAAGAAAATACTATGCTGACTGATGACAAGAGGCAGTAGATAAAATGAAAATGAAACATATAATTTAACCATTCTGCATGTTAATAGGACAACTATTAAACTACTCAAACTTAAAAAGAAAGTAGATGTAAAGAAAAATCTTACCTTAAATTTTAAGTTTATTTATTCACAAATAAGTTTCTCAAAAAACATGGCTTGATCATGTAGAATGCTTCCAGTAACTGGATCTGTAACATTAAGAAATAAACAAGTTACTTACTTATTCCCAATCCATTCATTTCTTTAAAGTGCTCTCTCCACCACATTTGGGAAGGAAGTAACTCAGGAAGTTATGAGCTTCCTTTTCTCCATGTGAGTCAGAATTTACAATGCCAAAAAGAATGGCTTGGATACAATTTAAAGAGAATGAAATTACATTTAGCCTTCCACAACACACGTGTACTTGTATTTTAAAAGTGAATGTTGGAAGAATTGGTTAAAAAGAAATATCTTGAAACCACTTGTCCTCAAGGAGGAGTTACTGGAGAATAAGCTACAGTGTGATTTTAAAGCTCTATAGATATTATTCTATACTAAATCTCTACATAAACTTTTTCTGCAATGAAAAAGTTTAGGTACTGTTAGGGAGGAACACCTGTTCAGCAAACAAGCTTTTCTAGGTTATTTTCCCCTGAAAACAAGCACTTACTGAGATTACGGTTTCAGAAAAATAACAATGCTTCAGGAGCTAGAACAGATGTTGTTTTCTGTGAAAGACAGAGGAAACAGAGTGCATTATATTGAAACCAGGGAAAAAATCTTCTTTCCTAAAGCAAAACTAAAATTGGCATGCAACTTTGAATCACTTACAGCATGCACATAAATATACTACAACTTAGGCAGACGTGGTTCATTGGGTAAATCCAACACCTTTTATTAAGCCAACTCAAATAGTTGGAAAAATTCCGCCTTGCAAGCTTTCAGGTACAAACAACTTTCTTCAAGCAGAGGAAGTGTCACTTAGTTAAATCTTAAAACTTAGTATTTTCTGTTAGAGAAGTAACATTACAGTAAGATGTTTTTGCTGTTCTCCTCAAACACAGCAATAAGAAAGGACAAGCCTGAAGGGTCCTGCAGTGTCAAAAGGCTCTCAGGTGTACTATGCACACAGAAAAGCAATTCTTTAAAAACACATTTCCTTATCCTCGCCCTTAGTCTCAGTCCTAGAGTTCCTGCACTCTACACCACCATACAAATAAATAAATAAATGAACAAACATACATCAGGAAGTCACTGTTCTACATTTTAGTCATCTAAGTTTGAGCCTGATTTGTATTTCACTTTAGAAAGGATCGGGATTGTATTGCTTTACTTCAGTGGCCTTCCTTTACTGTAACTGTATGGCCAAATTCTCCTAACACTGACACTGCTTATGGTGATCATTTGCAGGTATAAATTATACCATTTCCTCAAAGCAAATAAACTATATTGGCAAAAAGGCCTACACCAAGGAAACAGGTTAGATCTGAAACACACAGCTACTGGATTCTGGCCTGCTGAATGGGAGCTTCAGTGGCACTTAGTAGCTAGACCCTTTGCTTGTACCATGCTGCAGAGTGGCTGGATGCTTTGCTCATGCCACGTCCCAGCTGGGCAGCAGAGAGAAGCAGTACCCTCCAGTTGGCACCATAGTGTTCCACTCTCCACCTCATCCCACTGTCCAATGAGGGGAAAGGAGGGGAAGGGCAGGCATCCAACTAGTGCTTTCCTGGGTGTTTGGTTCTGTATGGGACTGAAACCCGCAGTATGCAGCACTTCAGGACTTGGAGCATGTGCGCCCACACCCCTGACTGACAGAATTTTCTCTAATTCCAGGATTTTCACTAGCATAGCTAACTGGTGAGGCAAGAGATGCGATTTGTCTCCTTCCATAGTTTGAAGTAGCCCAGAGTAGACCAGAGATGTTAGCAAAAGCATCCTCCCTCACCCTTCAGAGCCTAGGGTCTACGTTTAGATCTGTCCGATTGGAGCTTTAATCCTTTTAAAGGTCAGGAGATAGCCCAAGATACCGCTGTGCCTTAACTAAACTTTGAGTACTGATCAGAGTAAAAGCAATGTAGAGCTATTTGTGCACAGGAAAAAGAATAAGCTACACCAACATAAGCCAGTTTAATACTAATATAACTGCATTCACATTAAAGTTTGTACTAGAGCAACTGTATGATATTTTTTCTTTAACGCACAACTCTAATTGAAACATTTACACTAACTTGACTTTCAAATACAAACCCAACCTATGGCAAAACAGCAAGAATGCGTAATTACTAGAGGTGCACTGATACATTGGTTCATATTGTATTGGCACCAATAAAAAGAAAATTGACATTATTGGCAAGGCGCTTTTTTTGGCTGATGTGTCCAATAATGTTGCCAATAAATGCCACATACATGCGCGCAGCCACAGCGTGCATACAGCCAGGAGTGCAGCCCAGAAGCCTGGAAACCAGCATCTGGGTGGTAAGTCTGTTAGGGGGAAGGGGCATGGGGGAACAAAGGAGTATGCAGGGGGCAGACAGAAGCCCCCATGGTGAGGGAGGGAATG